AGAAGGGTGCAACAATGAATGAATGGAATCCCAAAATCTCTGTAGATGTTCATTGAAATGAAAAATAAACAACCTAAATTTAAAAAAAAAAAAAGCAAAGCTTTACTAAAATAGCTTTGTATATAACCTACACTCCCCCTTAGTCATGTAGACCCAGGTTTCCCTGTGCCAGAATATCAACTTCAGGGTCCTTTTCTGAGCATCAATCAATAACGAAGTCTAAAGCATCTGAGAAATGCCAGGCCTCCTGTGCCTCCAAACTACTGCATAAACCTCAGTCAATACAAGCAAGTGGAAGCTCAATGTGAGAAGTTAGGGCTCCTGGAACTTCACTTGTCTCTTTGCTAATCATTCAGCCACATAAGTGGACAGTCATCTCTTTGCTACTCAGAGCACTCTGGGTCACTCACACTGGAAGCACAGACTCCATCCATGTATGAGGCTCGCCTCTTTTTCTCTCTATTGTATATAGCAACAGAGCTCACTTAATAAGTAGTTTTCTGCATGTCTTTTACTACCGCTTAAACATTAGGAATACTCATTCTGAACTCATGTCCTTCTCAACTAATGACTATGGAGCCAATTGCTTGCTTATCATCTTCTAATTTATCTTGCACAGGAGAACATAAAAACTCAAAATTTAACATCTTCCTTCCCTGAAATAAGCTCTTCTTCCCATCTTCTCCATCTCAGTGAATGGCAATCCAGTGTGCTGAGGGAAAACTGGATGGCAAGCAAAGAATCTTCATGTCCATTCCCGCTCACTATCAGCCAGAGATCAGCTGCTGAATGTCTCTTGATGTCTTTATTACCTGCCTCTTCTTCACCATCATTACTGCTTCACTTTAACCTCTTCCTCTTCTCCTTGTTCTATTCTAGTGTTCCTTACCACAATCTAAAGTGATCTTCCTAAAAAGCTAAAGAAAGGTCTACACTCAGATAGAAACATTCTTGGATGATTATCAAGAATGAGGAGAAGGGGATAAAAATTAGTAAACAGATAACAGATGTGTATTAAAATAGGTGAAATGAAAGGGAATATACAATAAAGGAATGATCAGTTCAGTGTCACTGAAGATAGGGAGGACACAGAGGGATATAGAAGGATTGACTGAAATTAGAATTATAGGGAAGTAGTGGAGAAAGGCAACAATATTGTGAGTATTAAAATTAACATTATAGAATAAAAAAAGCATGATGTTATAGAATAAACGTATAATGTTATAAAACAAAATGTTGAACAGAAAATTAATTTGCTTTGTAATTATAGTTCAAATCATAATAAAATAGTGACCTTTCTAAAATTTCATTCAAATAATGTCCCTCCCTTGTTAGAAATCTTTCATGCAAGGCTGCATAGTGGAGTGTACTGGGGGAAGGGGGGTGGGAGGGGGTTTTGAATACCAATGAAAGAATTTTTCTTTTACTTTTCAAAGAAAAGAGCAAATGGGGGGGTAGAGGTGGGCAGAGAGAAAAAATGCAGCAATGAAGGAATGAAAATCCAAAGTCTCTGTAAACGTTCATTAAAATTAATAATAAATAAATTTTTAAAAAATCCTTCGGCGACCTCTGGTGGCCTAGTGGCAAGAAGTTGCACGGCAGTCCCAGAGGTGTGCAGTTCAAATCCACCAGATGTTCTGCTGGAGAAGGAGGAACAAGCTCCTCCTGTACCAGTCAGATCTGATTTGACAGGGCACACACACAAAAAATAATAAGATTTTAAAAACTTTAATAAAAATAAAAAATCAAAATCACTCACTCTTCAATAACCTCTAAGACTGAATCTTAACCCTAAAACATAGTTTACAAGGTCTTCCAACCATTTCTGTTCTCCAGAATGTCTTCAAATCCCAGTTTAAAATTCTCTCTTCTATAGAAAAAGCTTTCTGTGATTGTCCTCTGACCCAGGGTTAGATGTTCCTTCTATATACCCTGATAATTATGATAAGCTCTTTATTATAATTGCTTGTTTAACTGTCTACACTCTACCCCTAACACTGCATATAAGCTCCATTTATTCATCAGTGGGTATCCAGAAACAGAATATGCGGCATATAGTAGAAGAGTTGTAAGTGTTGGTAGCAAACTCAGTAGAGCTGTGCCGGTAAATCAAAGGCAGTGCCTCTCTGGTGGTCTGAGTCCACCAGCAGCTCTGAAGGAAAAAAAGGGGCAATTTCTCATCATGCAATTTACAGCATCCTGAAAATCCACTGGAGAGTCAACTATGAGTCAGTTCTGACTTGATGGCAATGAGTTATGAGTAATATATATTTGAACATTAAATAAATGGATGGTAGATAGGTGGCTGGCACAAGTATAAAAAGTTACACACTTAAAGGCCATAGAAGGTCTATTTACAGCACTTTAAGTCCTCTAACCCAAATCATTTTCAATAGGGAAGACAGACATATCATAGACAAAATGCTACTAACAGGTGCAGTTTTCCAGACTTCAGGAATTTCAAATTTAACATTTCATTTTTTTGTTGTCCTTCCCTTTTTTAAATTCTTTCCTCAAATATCATTGAGTCAGACTGATCTAAGCCATGTATGACAGTGGTGTTACACAGAGCAACTAATGGAGCTGGGGCTGCAGGACTAGAGAGAGGCTACAGAGCTGAGGGTGCAGAATAGTAGTGAGGGCCAAGTACAGATTTGGGTGGGAGGCATCAGGAGGGCTTAGGTTACCAAGCCAGAAAAGGCATAGGAAAAATGGGACAAGGTCAAAGGTTGTGGAGCCCATAAATTCTTGTCTCCATTTTCAAAGCAGAAAGGAAAAAGTTCAGGCTTTGGATTCTGACAGACGTAGTTTGGAACAAACCATTGGCTTTATGGCCCTGAATCTTAGTTTCTTTCATTGTAAAGTGAGAAAATCAACTTCACCAAACTATTGAGAGGGCTAAGTGGAAAACATAAATGCTTGTAAAGCATCCAGACATAATTCCAAGCATGTAGTTAGTGTCCAAAAAAATTGGGAATCTTTACCCTCCCTTTCAAATTTAAATTAAGTCTACCCACTGCTGTTGAGTCAACTCATAGCAACCTTCTACAGGTTTCTGAAGCTATAAATCTTTATGGGAGGAAACTGCCCATGTTTCTCTTGTGGAGCAGCTGGTAAATTTGGACCATGGGCCTTTTAGTTAGCACCATAACACATAATGCATTACAACACCAAAGCTCCTTAAATGAAGTCACTTGGTCCCAGTGTGTATGTAGGAGTACAAAGAGGGGTGGTGAAGAACCTATGTCACTGACTGGTTAGGACAGAAGGCATGAGTCAGGGCTGTGTAACACCCAGGGATGAAACAGGGACACTCCTCCCCCCACCCACTCATCCTCATCCAGGTCCCTGGGGTCTAGGTTGGTAGCGGGTCCCTGGTGGTCAAGGAAATCAGGCTGCATTAGTACCTTTCTCACCACAGTTGGCGAAGAGTGCTGGATGGTGCTGTCCAGTGGGGGGACACTGAGAGGGCTTTCTTCCCCAGATGTCTGGGACAAGGAAGCAGCAGTATTCTTGTCAAGAGGGATAGCTGGCTTTGCGCCCTCAGATGCAGGAGGCTCATCTGTAGCCTAGAGGTGAAAATAAGGGCTGGGTAGACTGCATGGCAAAGACTAGCAACATCAGAAGCAGCAGCAGGAAGAACTAGTGCCCAATTTGGCCGGCTCATTGCTACTACCCATGTACTATGAACTGCTTAAATGTTGTTGTTGTTGTTTTTAAAAAAAGAAGATGCACTTATCCAAGCTTTTCAATCTTGAACTCAACTATAATCTAGAACTCAAACTTGGAATTCTTAACTAACTCTGTCATGCTTACTTTAATGATCAGAACACAGTTTTGACCTAAATTTTGCTTGCAGTCATACCTTAGTCTTCTCTCTGCCATCATGAGAATTATTCTATATTCCCACAAAGGAATTGAGTCTCATGGGAAAATATCTGAAGCATGATTTAAAGCTATCACTGCTGAAGCATAAATGTGAAGCCTCAACATCTTGTAATAAAGGACAAGTCTATAGAAGATACAACTGTGATTATAGATTTAAAGGAAATACTACTTTGAAAAAGTAAGGAATGGTAGGGGGAAAAGACTAGAATAGAAAATTCTGGTTTAAAAAAGGAGAAAAAGAAAGGAAGGGAGGAACTAAAAAGCAGGAGCTAAAAATGAAGGTGTGGAATGCAGCAAAGATTCTAGAATTACTAACTACACCTTTTCAATGGACTTTCAGAAAGATGAAAGAGTAACAGCCTTCAACAACTCCCTGAAGACAGAACAAGGCTTCTGTGGCATTACAGAAAAGTCAGCAAACCTACATCCTAGTTTTATCTCTAACACTCAAAGTCATATAATCACCAGGTAAATTACTAGCTGTCTCTGTAAAATATTGACTGTTGTTGAAAATACATATAAAATATATCTACCTGGCTGGTTTAGGAGACTTGAAATACACATGAAGTCCAGATCTATTCAATGCTATAAAAGTGCTGCCCACTAATATCTATTGTATAATTTTATTATGCTTAACATCTCCCCTTCCTCCTAAAAGAGAAAGTTTACAAAAATAAAAGACTATTTTCTTTCTGTTTAGCACTACTCAGAAGGAACCATCCATGCGGAAGGACATTAGTGACGCTATGTAGGACAGGAATAGAATGAAAGTATTGAGTCCAGATCTATATTGGGACCATGTACTCTCGAGCGTTCCTAAAATAGAAGTTGAGCTCCGGGCTACCCTAAGGTGAAGAAAGTGTGCCACTTTGTGTCTGGAGAAGTTGTATTGCCTAAGCTGTTCTACAAATGGGAGCATATGTATGCCAAAACACCCCAAAGCTTACCTGAAGGTTATCCTCCTGGCTCTGGGACTGTACAGGTGCTGGTTGCCTCACAATGTAGTTGATCTGCCCCACAATAGTTTGCTGAAGATGCTGAGGAGATTTGGTCTGACTCAGTTGCAGGCTGGGTTGTTGAGCCTGAAGGAGAAGCTCCAGGTCCTTCTGCATTTCCTCCAGCTCAAACTTGTGGTGCATGATGTCCACATTCTGGGAACAGGCAGGCCCAGGAGGGTTTTCATGCTGACTGGGAGCCAGGTGCTGAGATGGAGGTGGGGCTGACTGCTGTGAGGGTGGGGGAGGGGGAGGTGGGGGAGGTGGAAGTTGCTGCTGTGGCTGCTGCTGAAAGTGGCTAAACTTTAGCTTCTGATGGTGGCCAAACTGGACTTGGATAGAAGGTGTCTGTAAGGTAGGCTGTGCATGGGCTCCCTGCTGAACATCCTGCGGAGGCACGATGCACACAGGCTGGGAAGTCATTTGCTGCCCCAGCCTCTGAGATGTGTTCTCCTGCTCCACAGTGGGTTGGGTTTCCAGCCAAGGCTGCAGAAGCTTTGGTGGGTGAGGAGTGCTGGTCAGTTCTTTCTCCCTAGGCAGCAAGGAAGAGCACTGCAGTGGCCCCAGCTGCTGGGGCACAATCTCAGAGGGCTGCCTAAAGCTGTGGGCAGGGTGTATGTTGGGTGGGGGTGCCTGACCTTTGAGAGAGGGGGAGACCGGGGAGCAGTGGGAGCAGCACACTGTTGAGGAACACAGTGCTGGGGCCTGGAACTTGTGTGAGGGGTGGCTGAGCGCCTCCTGCTGAGCTACTGAGGACTGGTGGCTTTGATAAAAGGATGATGGCCCCTGTAAGCCTCCGTAAACTGGAGTATCTGCCCTGGACAGTTGTCCACCTTCTGTAGTTATGCAACCTGAAAATTTAGAATAGAATTTTTCCAAAGGTAATATGCAATTTCCCACCACCTGCTACCTCCTACTCCTGAGACCAAAGGACATCATTCAACAATCCTACATCATAGAGATTAATAAATGGACCTCTCGTATCTCTAAAATTCAGTCCAGAATGCTGTCAGTAATAACACCTGTATGTATGTACTTGTGATGTTTAAAAATTAGCAATTTTGACTCTTTCTATTCCACTAGAACTTCATTTTTATTGCTATTATTTTGTTTTGTTTAACAGAACTGGCCAACAGAAACTTTGACAACAAGAAATGTTACTAGGGGTTTGAATCAAAGGCAGGAGTTGGAAGAAAATGTGCTGGAAGGTAGTAAGTCAGTCCTCAGATCAGTGAGCAAATAAAGGGCTGGAGGACTATGTGGTGAGCAAGGAGGATGAAAGAGAGTGGAGGAGGTCCAAAGCCTGCTGTGTCACACACTAGAGTTGTCCTCTGAGATCTCTGGGTCCCTGTGCATAAGTGGACTATACTGCCTTCTGCTGACTGCTTTGATAAGAGTCACTTAAGGAAAGACTTCCTTGTGGGCAGAAGGTATGTCTTACTCACCTTTGCTGACTTAGTGGCCAGCATGTTCCCACCAAAGGTTGAACGAATAAAAGGGAAGATGAAAGCAAAGAACAAACCTAAACAAGACTCATCACTTTGCCTAGTGCAACAAGCTGTTTAGTGTGATTGACAGTTCAGGTAAGGCAGCAGTTAGTCATTATTTTAACAAACCTACCACTGGGTTCTAAATACAATGTTAGTTGTCTATATTCTGTCTAAATACTAAATGCCAGAAAATCATTGTAGAAGAGAAAAGTGCACAGATAGATGCATGACTGTCATCTATTTCCTATCACATAAATGATTAGCTTATATTCAAATGTGTGAGGAGCTAGAGTCAGAAAATCAAAAGGGCTGAACTCGCTCAGCATTTCTTAAGCTCAAGGAACTGAAGAACAAATTCAAACCTAGAGTTGCTGTAATCAAGGATGCTTTGGGCAGATATTAAATGATCCAGGAAGTAGTAAAAGAAGATGGAAGGAATATACGGAGTCATTATATAGAAAGGAATTGGCAGATACAGAGGAATTTAAAGAAATAACATATGAGCAAGAGCCTGTGGTGATGAAGGAAGAA